GTTAAAATGGTGAAACATGTGTGCACTCGATAAAAATGATATTATTTCTATTTTTTTGTGAACGAAAAAGAACGAAATGAATGGATTTTCTCTCTCTCTTAATCACCGACTGATTTTGATCTTACGCAGTGCGTAATACGCACACATACACACACACGCACAAGATGTAATATGCTGGTTTCATCCATACAGGTTTTGGGGAAGGCGGAGCCTAACATTTCCTGACGAAAAAATAATTTTCCTTCTCACTAAAACCATGACCGAATTAGATCGCCTGTCAAAGAGTTGTCTTCAGAATGAGCAAAACATGCGAAAAAACAAGTCAAAACTAACAATTTTTCAAAACTTTAATTTCGATGTTTGTTTAAATTTAACCGCACTGATCATTAAAAGACAAACTTGATAACTTAATCTTAAATCAAAATGAAATAAAATGCCGTTCACGACGATAATACATATAATCAAATGGAGTTTAATGCAGCCTTTATTTCTTTTCGAATGATTTCAGCTGTTAATTTGAGTATTTCAGCCGATGTCATCGTTTCTTTTCCTTCAACGGTTTGGTTTAATTTTACGTAGAATTCATTCATTCTGCTCCGAATCATTTCGACATTGTTTGCATTGCCCGTTATATTGCTTGATGGTTGTTGTTCTGGCTGTGGTTCTTGCTGTTGTTGAAGCTGTTGTTAAAGCGTTAATCCTTCAATTCGTCAATTTGTGTGATTTGTTTCCCTGTCATTGTTCAGCCACGCCTTCTCCTTGTTGATCTGTCCAAGAAAATAAATCGTTCGATTCTTTAATGGAGTTATTACTTTTGATTGAGCTGTTAATAGAACTAAAACCAAAATCAAAACGAAAAACAAAAACAAAAATAAATAAAAGGAAAAACGAAAGATAAAACAAAAAGAAAAGTCAATAAAATAAATTACGAACCGATTTGGTGACAGCTCATGGATTAAAGAGGCCATAATTTCGATTGAAGCGGCCACATTTTGGATTGAAGAGGCCATAATTTCGATTGAAGCGGCCACATTTTCTATCATTCGGATGAGTTCGTCCCATTTTTTGTCGGCTGATTTGCCATTTTCGTGGTTTGGTGATTGTGTTGATGTGCCTGCCTGGTGATTTTGAGGGGAATTTTCGCCAAATGATTTCACTTCAGCACTGTTGTTTGGCACTGATGGTTTTTGTGCTTCTTCACAACATTCTTTGAATTTATTGAATGTGTCTTGATTGTAAAATGTCAATTTGAAATCCTCACCATCGACGGAAAACTTAACTTTGTTTCGTTCCTTTCTATCCCGAATGGTTTTGTATTTTTCCTCATATTTCAAAGCCAAATTCATCAACGCTACACTGCAAATACATCCGCTACGCTCGAAAACTTTCAGTCGTCTGTTTTTAATACGAATGAAAAGCTTGTTTTGTGGCCAACCATACCGAAGCGTATGACCCATGAACTTTGTCGTTAGTATAGCAGGACACAATTCCAATGAGAGATAAGCGGAGCCATAAGGTGTCGATGTGATACATGGAGACATGATTGTATCAATATCAAAATAACGCGTACCGAAAATGGAATGAGTTATCACCGAAATCGTAGTCTAATTAAAACGTTCAATTTGTTTTTTCACTGCAATAGTTTGTATTGTAATCAAATTTAAGTTTGGTTTGTTCGACTTGTTATTTACAACGTAGAATGTGATATCCGTGTGAAGCGACAACATTTATGACATTTCCAAAACCAATGGAATGAGCATCATATGTCATAAGGCTTGGTTCACACACATAGTGCTAATTCAATATTTTGACAATTCGATTTGTGATAAGAATGTAAACAAACAACATCATGTTTTTTTTTCATCTGGTTCCGTCAAAATAAAATATTATTATTTATAG